TTCTTTCAACTTCTATTATCTTATTCTTCTCTTTCTCCAAAAATTTCCTTTCAGCATTCAAATTCTTTTCCACTTCTAAAACCTTTTCTTTCTCTAAATTCAATAGCTTTCTTAGCTTAATCAGGTCACTTTCAGACTTTATGAGATTTATCAGTTAAGTCATAAGTTTCATTATGTTTTCTACCTGAAGAATTTCTTTCAGCTCTTAATTCATTCTGAACTTTTTGGAGTTTGTTAAAAAGATCTTTATTAGCTTTACTCCATATTTTCAATTCATCATCAAAATCTTTTCTAACATTATCCAAAGAATTTTCAAGTTTATTAATTTGATACTTGGAATCATTCTCAACTCTTTCCAATGCTCTTTTATGATCTTTTTGTAAATTTACAATAAATTCCACATTAGAATGATTCTCAGAAAATACGTTTATATATTTTTCTTTATAGTCCACTATGCTCTTTTCCAGCTTGCAAATCTAAGCTCTCATCTCTTTATTCTTCTTTTCTAGAATATCTGCCATTTTAAAAAATAAGATTGATTAATCAGATCAAATGCTATGAAATCAGATAAAAGAAATCAAAATCAGTTAAAGCTCAAAAACAAAAACAGAAAAACACAAAACTGATGAGAAATTAGAAAAAACGACGAAAAACTGTATAAAATCAGTAAAAACAGTCAAAACTGTTGAAAACAGTTAAAAACTGTTAAAAACTGTTAAAAACAGTCAAAAACAGTTAAAACTAATAAGAAACAGTTTATACGACGTAAAATAGTTCAAAAATTTCTCAAACAGTTAACACAGGCCAAAACAGATAAAAAGACCAAAAAATAAAATCTAAACAAAAGATTAGACCCAAGAAAATACAAACCCAAAACAAGTATTCAAGAACAACCCCTAATAAATTGAACAAAACAAGTCTTATGTGTGCATATATGGAATTGAATCAAATTTATTATTTACACATCAAGTCAAAAGCCACCAAAACACAATAACACTTCCTTGGCATATAGTTGCTACATATAACACAACTGTTCTTCAAATTCCATTTGCTACTTGCAAGTTGATCAGTGGGAGAAGACGAAAACGCACTACCATCAACATCACATGCATATTCAACACTTTCTGTCTTTCCACAAGCTATTTCATGTCAAAATTCTTTTTCTACATATGTAACAGGAAGACATCCAGCACTATAGTATCTACAAGCAAAAGACAATCTTCAGGCTAATTCAATCTCTGTGGCTGCTGCTCCAGGTTATGCTATCATCAACAGCCCTATCTAGATAATCCAATATGCTAATCAGTGCTTCCTTGCTTTGCATTAGCCTTCACAACAGTTGACACATCAATAACATCTAGGACCTCCAAACTGATGACAATCAAGAAACACACAGCATATTCAAACAGAGATTATAATGGTCAAATGCAAAGCTCGGCTTGCAAACTGAAGACTGCTTTTAGTCTCATCAGCATGAATCTGTGCCAGCAAATGATGGCTGTATTAGCATTCCCACCCAGTGCATACCAATTGTAGCAGTAATTCTTTACAGATCCCTCTCCTCTCTGTATGTCTCAACATCTTCATTAAATGTCATTCTGGGCTTATTCATGATAGACTCAATTGCGCTGTTGGACTTATTAGTTGATACAACATCATTAACAGAACCAGTAGAGGAATGCTTTGTTGCTATCTAGCTTGGCACGTTGCTGTTTCCCTCTACTCCAGAAGATGCAAGGGATTGCCTATTGACGGTAAAAGAAGATCAGTCCCATATCTCACAATATTAAGGCTTAAATCGAAGAAAGCTGGGTGAAACCGTAAGCAATTTAGAACAGGCAGAGACCAAATCCAAACCAAAATTGTAAAACCTGGACACAGACAGCTTATTTAGACTACGTATGTGTTCTTTTGAGCGATGAAGAACAAAACCAGATTTACACCAACAGAAATTCAAAATTAAACAGCCTGTTATGCGATTTAGTTTGAATAGGATAAACCTTTGATCAATATGAATCAAAATCAGTCAAGATAGATGAGCGATTTAGACAAGATAGGTCAAAACAATGTCCGATTATGTGCGATGTATAATGAGCGATTTACCAATCTCCGGTTAAGATGAGCGATGAACCAATCTAAAAAATCAAACAGTTTGTGATGAATTCGATTGAGCAATCAGATATAGGCTGCTGTGCGATAAACAATAAATTGCTTACACTCTGCGATCTAAACACTAAATCGCTTAAGAGGTCAGCGATTTAAACATTAAATCGCTCAATTTGTCCCTAATCCGAACACAATGATGGTGAGATGTGCGATGAAAGGGAAAAACACAGGCGATTTACCAGAACCTTTGAAACAATTCAAAATTGATTTAACAGAACCTGTGATGCCCGATTTATCATTTAGGCTTTGAGATGAGAAAACGATGAGCAATATAGAACCTGTGATGTGCGATATAACAAGCGATTTAGAAACAGTGGTAAGCGATAAACACTAAACCGACTAGTTAGGTTTACACAGCACAGAAACTAAGCCAAGCTCCAAGCGATTTAGGTAAATCCGATCAAGCCTTGAGCGATTTAGGCTTAAATCGGAAAGCCTATGATCGATTTACACAGAAACCGGACAGAGTCGTGCGATTTAGGCTGATCTTCGATGTGCGATGTCCGGATAAGAAGAACGATTTAAAACTATGAGCGTTATAGGGCGTGAAAAAGGATGAAATGGGATGGACTGACTAAACCGGTTGGGCCTACAGATATGGGCTGGACAAACACACAAAACAACAAAAATTTAAAAAAAATTGGATAAAAACACAAAAAAAAAAAAAAAAAAAAAAAAAAAAAAAAAAAAAAAATTTAAAAAAAAAACACAGAATCATCAAAAACTCGAAAAAATAATGATCAAATCATGAAAACTTATGAATAACAAAGATTCACAATACACAANAAAAAAAAAAAAAAAAAAAAAAAAATCAAGAACACGAAAATTTAAAAAAAAAACACAGAATCATCAAAAACTCGAAAAAATAATGATCAAATCATGAAAACTTATGAATAACAAAGATTCACAATACACAAACGCACACAACGATCATATTTTAAACAAAAAAACACAAATTTTAAAAAAATTCGGATCAAATTCAAAAAAAATATGAGCATGAAGAACACTAAGAAAATCCAGAAAAAAAATCTTCAAAAAATTCTTCAAATCAGTTGATTTCTTCTTCTGATTTCGTGTAGATCCAGCTTTGATACCAATTGTTGTCCCAATATAATCAATCTACCATGAAACCTTCAATCAACAATGGCAGAATATGTTTTCTTGTAAGAACACTATAAGGAGTGGAGAGAGAGAAAGTCAATATTTGAATTCTTGGTCAACACTTTCTTTACGTGAATATGATTTTACAATCAACTCTCTTACAAAATACAAAGGCAAATACCCTTTATATGGGGTCAAACAAGACAAAAGGTCAAAGTCAAACGATCTTAAAGAAAAGTCAAACACGATGACTTTTAAACAATTATAGACAATTTTATCTTTCAAGACGAATACAATTTTACATTGAATTTCATTCCTAACAAAGAGTTAACTAAATTGAAATCTAATATCAAAATCAAGAACTTACAGTCGACTTCTTCCGATTCAAATTCTGAAACATCTTCAAATTGTTGATCTTTAGCTCTGATACCAATTGTTAATCCCAGATTTAACAATTTTGGATAATGATTAACAAATAGCAAATCAGGATTTTGAGAATCCAACTTATATATTGATTGAGAAGAAAATTACAATATAGAGAGTTGAAATGAGAATACGTACTAACTGTTTTTAATCAACTGCTACAACTAAACTATCAACTAACAAAAAGAGAACTATTTATAGGATTGACTAATAAAAGTCAAACTACAATTAAGCACCATGTTGACTTTTGTTGACCATATTGACTTTAAGCTTTGACCTCCTCAATCTTTAATCTCGGTAATCTCGGATACAATAATATTCAACCTAACAGAAAGCACAAACAAGGTTGCAAAAAAGATGAATGTCCTTTATTAAGATCTATTTATTGAAGATTAAGAGCATGAACCGGTGTATTTGTGATGACACATGACAACTAATTATGAGATTATCGAGTTATATTATCTATGAACTCAGGTAATTTCTTTGATTCTTGAAACACATTCAGAAGATTTTGAAACATTTTTAATCTGAATTTCATGATCATATTTATTTTGTGATGAATCTTCTACTTGATTAGTGACTTAGGCTTTGTCAACAAAACTTTGATTATGCATTTCAGAATAAGATTCGTAGTTATCATTCATCTCTTCAAACTTTTGATCATAACTTTGAATACTTGGTTCAGAATTCTAAAGTGTTTCTACAGAGTTATTTTTGTCTTCTTCAAACTTGTTTTCAGATTTTGAGTATTGACCAACATACTCATAATCTTTGTACGAAAAATAAAGTTTCTTATTATCATAACTTTGAATTGTCAAAACCTATTCCAAACTTGAAATTTTTCTTACTTTTACAAGTTTGAACCTCAATCTTTGAAGTTTCACTAATTTCAGAGTTAGAATCTTCACATACTTTCTCCTTTTCTTTGTTTTCAGATTTTGAAGAGGGAGATTCAGATATAACAAAACACTTACTTAATGATATCCTTTCGACAAGATTTACATTTTTAGGCCTTGAACATGAGTTTTCTGATACATTTTGAAAAATGCCCATTTTTGAAAAATTGTACAGATTTATTGCAACATTTTTCAAAATTGCGTTTTCGTTATTGCCAAACCCATCTTTGGATTCTAAAATCTAGTTTCCTTAGGATTACTAACTAATAGATTAAGTGTATGCTCAATTTGTCCTCCTTTAAAATTCAAATCTTCTAGTTGTTTAATCTTTTTGTAAAGATCAACTCTTTTTCTTGATATAAAATCATATTCACCCTTCAAAACATCTTTGTAATTTTTTACCTTTACAAAATCCTTTTTTAATTCAGATTTTTTTTCCAGATAGACTAGATTTTTCTTTCAAAAGATTCTCATTCTTCGTTTTTGTACTTATATAATTCAATTTATAACTTTTCCTTCTCTTCTCTGAATTTGTTGACTTAAGATTCTCTCACCTTTTAACATTTTCTTCAAGTCAACAAATTCAGCATTCATTGATTCAATTTGATTTAACAATTCAGTATCAAGAGAGTTACGTACCTTACATTCAATATTAGAATCAACATGGAAAGAGCCAGAATGATCTAGATAACCCATGAAACATGATCTTACGTAGTGAATTGTTTCCTCATCAGATGAAGATCACTCAAGCTAGTTCTCTTCTTCTGCCATAAGAACTTGTCCTTGCTCTTTCTTATTGGCCAAATGCAACTTTTTGGAGTAGTGGTCAGAATTCCTTGACATTTTAAATCTACAATCCCTTGAAAAATGACCAGGTTTCCCATAATTGAAACATCTTGGTACATCATCATCATCCTTCTCTTGATCTTTCTCATTTTCTTCTTTCCTTTCATACTTCTTCTTATAGCTTTTGAACTTAAAATTATGTTTGTTGTCACCATTACCTTTTCTTATAGTAGTCAGATTTGATCTTATCGTAACTTTTCCTAGCAAATCTCTTGTTGAATGCCTTGGCTAACAGTGCAAGAATTTTTGCCATCTTTTTAAGCACTAAACCTAATATCTCTAGAATCTTAAAGATTCTAGATGAAAAAGATCTCTTGGAGCTTGTCTTATACTTCCTTTCAGAAATCAAAGCAAGATAGTCATTTACCTTTTTCTTCTTTAACAATCTCTACCTTCTGTTCATGTTGATTCAGAATTCCATAGATGTCATGGATATTCTTTTTGGTAAGATTCTTTTTCAGGAGATTATCTGCAAAAATATCCCATTCAGACCTTAGATTCTTCATAAACTTCTTATTGATTTATGAATTTATCTTTTGAACTCCATTTCTCCTTTGATCATTGAGAGTATCATTGAACCTATTGTAAGTTTCAGATAATGACTCAGACTCCTTGCTCTGAATCCCTCATATGCTCCTATGCATACATTGATCTTATTCTATGAAGCTTTTTGTCCTCCTTGCATTGTGCTTCAACTTCATCCGGCATGGCTTTGGCAGTTTTGAGACTATCTACTCTATTGAAAATCTCTTTCAAAAGATCCATAGTAAGTAACGTCAAAGATCTTCTATCAACCTTAGCCAATGTTTTTTCCTCTGCATTTTACATGCTTGGATCTAATTCTTGAAGAAGGAATTGCTTGTGTATCATTAGTTCTTAGTACAATAGGAATTTCAATGAAAACCTCCAATGGACCTTTAGTTATTAATTTCATTAGTTCCTCATCAATATTATCAAGAAACTATATCATTTGTATTCTCCATTGATGATCTTGTCCAACAAACAGTACTGTGGTGATTTGGTCTTTGACCCAATACTTAAGTATTTTTTTGACATCTTAAAATCAGTGTAATCATCGATATGAAAATATAGAAATAGAAAAATAGATCAAGAAAAATAGTAGATTTATCAATTTGAGAGAAATTGATCAATTAATCGAGAAATCAAATAAAGATCTTGAAAACAGAGTATCATCTGAGACCGAATACAAATGTCTTCCGCTCTTATAAAAATTGTTGAATCCAGTATACTGATTATGTTCAAGAATAAAAAGAATGTGAGGAATTATAGAAGAAATACATAGGAATTGATAAAGTAGTATGTCACTGATTGAATATCATTGAGTATAAATGAATCTGAATGAATCAATCTTTACAAGTATGAATCTGATCCTTTTGAGTATCATTGACAAATGTCTTCCGTCGCTGAAAATTCCGTCGCAGATCCGTCGCTGAAAGATCCGTCGCAGAAAGATCCGTCGCAGATCCGTCACTGAAAGATCCGTCGCAGATCCCTAGCTGATCTGTCGCTAAATACTTCTCTCGCTGATCCGTCGCTGAAAGTATCCCTCGCAAATCCGTCGCTGATAGCATTACCTACGATTATTTGACCGACGGAGTATCAGCAACGGATTGCCCTTTTAGCGACGGATTTGCGAGGGATTTTTTCCTTGCTGATACTCTGCATTTTTGTAGTGACACGTGACATTACCGTTTTCTTATTCTCTTACCCCCTGATGTTTTGGTTTCAGACTCAAGCCTATATCAATATTCTAGACAATTACTTTACTTAATATTTTTTGACATAAAACTTTCATGATTGTTTGACAAAGGAAATACCCTATATTTGAGCATGGGATTGATGAGTTGTGATGTGTTGTCGTGACCATAAAGTAAAAGCGAAGAAGAATAAATGATTTAAGTTTTAAAGAGCATGTGTTTTTTGTATTTAAATCAAATAGATATATTAAACTTTCAACTTTTATAACTTTTCTTGGTATTTTAACAACAATAAAAGCATTAATCGATGCATTATTCGAGATAAGCATAAAATGAACAAAACTCGTTAAGATAAAATATGTATATAATTGATTGACATATTGTGATGTAGTATGAATGGCAAATTTAAGACAAAATTTAAATATCTATCTATCTATATATGGTTTGGTTCATTTGTTAACAATGCATTGTTGTTAACTATCTGTACTCTTCAATCCACAAATTAGATCAA